TTTATTCCTAAGAGAAGAATATTAACTATGGACAGACTACATATAATTTACTATGCACCATTTAGTTTTACATCACTCTTAAACTGACCTTTTGCGACTGCTGCATTTAAAGCTGTCTAAGATCACGTACTTGCTGAAACAGCTAATCTTACAGGCGCAAGTATGGTGGTCATACATGTCAAACAGCCATCTACATGTTTCTGCTTAGAACTGTATCAAGTACAGGCAAACTGAGCAAGCACAAATTAAATGAGTTGAGGTTAGAAGAACAAGATATATTTGTTTGGATATGTCACGAAGCATGCCTGCCAAGGGACATTTGCAAACACTGTCCCAGCATTTTGCATCACAGTCAGAGTACTTATGCATATTGGAAGCTATGCAAAGATTTACACAAGTTGTAAGAGATTTCAGGAGATTAAAAAAAAAGACACAGGACTGGCTCTCTAAGCACATGGGGAAAGTCCAGACTGGCTGGGGCTAAACTTAGGAAACTGACACAATGTCCAGGAATGAGCCACTGAGTCATTCTGTGAAGGAGGGTGGAGACTCCATCTCAAAAAGGACAAAAATTACAGTTGCTTCTGAAATAATCTAAACGAATCAGTCCAATTACATGGAACATTTCAAATGGTACAACATGACCTGCATGCTGATAAACTGCATTATATGTTTAACCTTGAACAAATAAAAGTGGGTTAAACGAAACATTTTCATTGATCTCTTGCATTCTGTAAATAACCTAGACATTAAACAATCACTCTAATGGCGCTTTTCCACTACACCCGGGCTATTCAATTGGCGGCCCGCGGGCCACATGCGGCCCGCCAATCATCTCCATCCGGCCCCCAACCGCCCTCCTCCTCTTATCCTGGTGGTGCGGTTAAATTTGTTTAGATATGCGCGTGGCCGCAGTGGCGCCTGCAGCTGTACGGATATACGTATTCTGCGTACCATGAGCGCTCAGACTGAACCGAGAAACGTTTCTCAAGTTTACTTTGAACTTCGCAGCATAGTGTATAACGGAACGCAAGCTTACAGGAGTTGCGTTTACTCCCGGTCCCGGACACTATTATTTAACAGCGTTGATACATCTAGTGAGAAGCGGTTCAATTCAACACACCTGTCTGTTACAAGCCACAAATCACTCAATGATTTAACAGTTTTAAATCGGATGAAACAGCCTCAACATTCCAACGCGACTGATGAGGTAAACAGCAGAAACATTGTGCCATGAATGAATTAGAAGACTTTAAATCCCTTAATCACCAGCCTTACAAACATTTACCATGAATGTACTGTAGTAATTTACCATAGTTTGGGCAGAAATTTGGAATATTTAATACTTAGTTATAGTAAGAGTTGGGTATCGAGAACTGGTTCCATTTTAGAACCGGTAACAAATTTCCCAAAACCGGGGATTCGATAAGAAGCACGCATTATGATTCCTCTTATCGATTCCTGACTTTGGGACAGTTGCAAATTCGTTATTTCAAATGTAGGCGCGTGGCAAGCACGTTCATAATAGAAGCGACGAGCATGCGGTGCGTGGCGCTCGTTTTTGCAGGCGCGCAGGTCATGTGACAAAAAACAACGACCTTTCTGTAACATCGAAAGCTCGGCCAAACAGCTGATCATAGCTGAACAGGGCATGTTTTTATTTCTCATCTCCATAAATATATCTAGTAGCCTAGTAAAGCTAATGCGAGGGCTATAAATCAATTAATCCTTTGCTGATACGTCCTCGTCTGCATCATGGAGAGCGCAGTTCATGGTTGCATAGCAACGACAGACGCCACGGGAGCGCAAGCGCTTGTGGAAAGGAGGAGAAAGCGGCGCGGCCCCGCTTCTCCATGCATTTTTAGACGCGATATGTGAACGGTCCCTAATTCAGGAATCTATGTGGCTTAAAATCGTTTTTGTTTTGTTTAAAATGGAGATCACGATTACATACATCAGACAACTACATATGTATAGTCTAATAGTCTTTTTTTTTTAAAACTCATTTGAATCATTAATTCAAACACTATTACTCCAGTAAAACAAGTATTTATGAATTAATTAATGTAATCAACACCTTTATATGAAGAGACTCCTTTCACTTTAGCCATTTTATTGGATATTGCTTAAAATTGGCAAGAATAAAAGGTAGAAATATTTATTCTTCAAGTATTTGCCCTTTTTTCTCTCTCCAAAAAATATTGGAATCGGAAACGAATCGATAAGAACCGGATTCGATAAGCAGAATCGGAATTGGAATCGCTAAAAATGAAACGATACCCAACCCTAATAGTAAATTATATTGCATTAGATTTATTAGGTGGGTAGAGGAATTTATAATTCGTTGTGTGTATAGTTTTTACCTGTGTTTAGGCATTTCTCTATAGTGGTAGTGAGTAAATGAGTAGCCATGCATGGTTTTACCTGTGGTTACCAAGTCTCAGTGTCAGAATTTTTAATTTAAGCCTATAAGAATTATGAATAAAATATTTCTTACCAATAGCTATGAGCATGTATAATTTATATATTTGTACACAACTGTAAATAAGTTATTTATTATGGTCTTATAAATGTGCATACTGTTGGGTACCACATTTCCAAGTAAATACAATACTTTTTTGGTTTAATTTAGCTTATTTATTAATACGGTTATGTTTCAATAAATAATAAATAATGTTTCAATAAATCAGCTAAACCCACCGGCCCTCCTCAACTTTTCGATTCAATAATCCGGCACTCGAATGAAGCTAATTGAATAGCCCTGCACTACACAGTACCAGCTCGCCTCGGCTCGGCTCGGCTCGACTCGACTCGCCTTTGTTTGGTTTTCCACTGTGTAAAAGTTGTACCTGTACCTGCTTTCGGGTACTTTTTTTCGTACCACCTCTGGCGAGGTTCCAAGCGAGCTGAGGCGAGCTAAGCCGATACTAAAATGTGACGTGAAAACAATGCCGACTGCTGATTGGTCACAGAGAATCTGCGTCATCATTGCACGCGCCAGATGGAGTATTTTAAATAGTTTGGCCAGAGATAGTTACTAAACTTACTACTATTATTATGGCAACTCGGAAGAATACGCCGTGGTCAAACGAGGAGGTGCAGACATTCCTTTGTTTGGTTGCCGAAGAGAGGATCCAGCGAGAGCTTGATGGGGCAACGAACGAAAGCCGTCGCTATGACGACCGGGTACTATTTGTGGCGGTACTTTCTGCAATGGAAAACGGAGCGAAAAGCGAGCCGAGTCGAGGCGAGCCAAGGCGAGTCGAGTCGAGTCGAGCTGGTACTGGTAATGGAAAAGCGCCATAAGTATACAAACTTGTACTGTTTCACACAAATGTTTGCTTTAGTAAGACATATTTGGAAATATTTTGAAGCAATTTGATGGCTAATTTGTCTATGGAAAAACCCCAGGGAGGATAAGTTTAGTTGAATGCCCTATTTATCTGTCAAAATAAATCTGGGCAATCTCTACATTTTCCAGTCCCACAAAGTTTTTTTTTATTTTTATAAATGGCAGAGTGTTGATTTGGTTTCCAAACATCACAATTTCCATAAGCTGGGAACAAATCCATTCCACAACAAGTGCACCCCTTTGAGACTGTTCCCATGATGTATTGTGACTTTCTGGCACAGAGCAAATGATTGTTTCCTTTCCAAATATGGTCTGAGCTCGCACAGACATCAGAGACGTCCCATGGGTATGGAGGACATGGCTGGACAAATCTCGTCCTTATCAAAGAAGCTATATAGTGAGGTATCCAACTCATGACACCAAGCAATGTGTAAATTTTATTTTATCGGACACAAAGCAGAGACAACCACAAAGCAGCTTTGTTGTGTTTAACATTTATAAGCGGAGTTGTCCAAAAGCAATCAAATCTTGAATAAACGCCAAACTATTGACATATCTCGCTGCATAGAGATGACAAGATAAAGACTTTCTCGGTTTCCAGTAGGCTGAATATTAAAAAGGTTCAAATCAACATCTCTCTAAGATATCTAAAACAGATAGTTCTTGTCCTGGATTCTGGTAACAGCATCCATCATTATTTTTGGTAGTAACACTGGTTTTGTCAGGAACTGTATATTTGAGTTATAGTAGGCCTATGCCACTAAAATAACTTTTTAATAAAAGTGTCCTTTTAATGCAGTAATGGTTTTATAAATGCAATAATCTGCTGTGCTGTATTGTGAATAGTCTACATTTAAATAAAAATGTTTTTTTTTTTTTTACAATCGAAGCGTCTTTTTTACTCCATCACAGGAGCGGTCTCTCTAGTCTAGTGAGATAGCTGGAGCGATAAATGTAAAACCAGGAGTGGATCTAGAGCAACACTTTACAGAACGCTTTGAGTCGCTACGGAAATTGTCTGTCTCTCCGTTCCACTCATATAGCCAACGTACAGTACAGAACTGCACACACAAAGCTTGATGCTGATGCTTCTGTGACTATTTTCGTTGGTAGGAAGGACATATCTAAACTATCAGTTGTTTGACACATAAGTAATTAATTTTCATAGAACTGTTGAAAGCAATATCACACGTGCGCAATCGTAGAAGTGAATATCAGCACGCACCTGCCGCAGAATTACAGCAGTTCACTGTAGCCTACTTTTTGCTCGTGTGATATTGATTATGGTGTTTTATATTGCTTGATGATGGAGATTAAAATGATCCACATAGGCCTAAGGTTTTCTGTCATAGATAGCCCACAGCTTGCCAGGCATCTTTTTTCTCACAGCCTGACAGTTTATCTTATGACTGCCAAGGCAACTACGCAAAGGCATGAACACTGTGTTCATTTCATTAAATGATTAGGCTATCACATCCGTGTCACGCTTCATGCACTAAATTGCACTCAAGAAGACTGAAGATACGGATCAACGATGAGTCAAACTTTGAGCCAAACAAGTTTTGTAAGTTCAATAGGAACAAACGGTCATTTCCAGAGCCTAAAGTGTACTTAACCAAAGCCAAATGAAACGCATCGATTTACTTACCAAGTATGCCCCCACTGTGCCCTGTGCCAACATCAGAGCACATTCCGCCACTAAAAATATCTTAATATTTGAGAAACACGAGGGTTTCTTTTCATCCCGCTGAGGGTCCTCGGAGCTCCTCTTTTTCACCTGCATCCTGAAAAGTCCAGCCGCCAAGAAACGCAGCTACAAACTATTGTAAACGGAGAATAAACTCTAAAGTCAAGCGTGTCTTGATATATCTGTACTAGCTATAGCCTACTATAACTGCTGTTGTTTACAGTAAGACTCAGTGCCGTGTGACAGACTTTTCATTGAAACTCCGCCGATGAATGCTAAACTCTCCTCCTTTGCGCTCTGTCGCGGAAACGGAGGATAAAAGGTCGCTGTTTTTTACTCCAAACATGTTTCTTTCCCCCTGAGACTGTCCGAGCACCCGTCGCGTTAGTGTTTGCTCGTATTCCGTCAGCATCGCTCGACTCCGCATGCTTGATTCTCCGCCTCGGTCATTATGACTGACTGGCTGGTTATGTGAGCGTTTCTACCGGTCGGGCTTGTACAGTAAAGACACACGGTAGAGGCGCTGTGATGCAGACATCATAACATAAGCCGAATGCTTTACTGACTCGTGTATTCAAAATAAAGGCACATTGAATGGCAAAAACATGTTTTAAATCATTCCTGTCAGTCATTTTCTGGGTGAATTCGGATCGTTATGCGCAACACAACATTGTTTTTTGGCGATCATAGCTTTCCTTAACTTATCTTAAATATGTAAACAAAACACTAACGATTTCTGTGATATATTCTTGATGTGTTAATACAACATAAAAGGAAATATAAATGTCAATAACTAGGATTTTATCACGTAACAAGCGATTTCTGTTTGCCACCGTGAACTGTGCATTAGTGCAAAATTTTGAAAACCCTGTGGAAACCCATAAACTTATCGCTGACATGTTAAATAGGCTACATACATGCTTACAGTAGATAGTACAGTAGCCTATACTACAGTACAAACATACATGCCTACATAGGCCTACATACAGTAGCCTATACTTTTGATGGCCATTTTCTTCAAGGAAAATTTTTTATTTAAAAAATGTTTGGTGCTATACAAAAAAACAAAGAAAAAATCAATAACAGGGTATGGGTATGAAATAACATGAATAAATAAACATTTTTAAACCATGGGTTTCCAAACTGGTGTCTAAACATAGAAAAGTGTAGATTAAAAAAATGGTAAAAATTAATTAATGCTTTTGACTTCAAATAATTTGATTTAAATAAACAACAAAAAATTATTTTAATACATAAACATGTCGATTAAAAAAAACCCCGAATACATTTAACAGAACTAGTGAGTAGAAACTAAGTATTTTCCAAATAATATTTTTCGTGTTTTTATAATATAATTTTTTATAGTCTAAACTGTCTAAATTTGACGTTTATACATGATGATATAGCTGTCTTTAACTGGGGTCCCTGGCATGAGGATGATCATATTTGGGGATACGTAGACTAAAAGATTGAAAATCCTTTTTTTGAACTAAGTTCTCAGTGAATCATAGTGATAGCCTATATAACCAGTTCACATTCAGTATTGCCTGATGGGTTTGCAACCTTGTAACTTTTTATGCTGAATTATTATCAAACAGGATGTGAAGTTGATTCATCATAAATATGTTAAGCTATTTAATTTCAAGTCGACATAACATGTTTAACAGCTTCATTACTCAGCTAAAGTTTTGAGAGACAAGCTTTTTGTTTTTTCATCTGTGGGCACAGTGCGAACACACTGTTCTGGTCAGAGTTTTGAGGAAGAAGAGTGTGAAATTCTGACTCATTGTCATTCTGGTTGCCATGGCAAACGTACTACAGCAGCTGTTAAGTTACCAAGACCTGTTTTCTTTGCTCAACTTTTATGATTATTTTAACATGCATGGATGTCTTGTTTAGGTAGAATCAATGGTAAATAGTCGATTAGTTAAAGGCATAATTTACCCCAAAATTCTGTCATCATATACTCACCCTCATGTTGTTCTAAACCTGTATGAGTTTCTTTCTTCTGTTGTAAAGAATATATTTTGAAGATTGTTGGTAGCCATTGACTTTCATAGTATTTTTTCTTTCCTACTATGGAAGTCAATGGCTACCGTCAACTGTCGCTGTCATTCCTCGTATGTGTAAACATACTTGGCAATAAAGCTCATTCTGATTCTGATTCTGATTAAACCACTGTGGGTTCAACCCTAATAGGACATAAAAAAAAGCATCAAAATACAGCTTTAAAACTGAATATAATCTCCAAAAAACATGCTTTTCCCCAAATGCATAACATATGCATAGATTCACCATGCAATTCTTCCATGCACACATAGTGCATCATGGAAAAACTCTAAATCATAGTTTAGGCAGAGACTTGACATGTTGGCATCCATTAGATCCAAAACATGCATTAAAGTGACTTGCTAGGGGGAGAAAAAGCATCTTTACAGTATAAGCAACCCCTCTGACAACATTCCATATGGCCCATGCATTTTTCATATGGATTTGAGAAACAATGTGATAAAAAAATTAAAATACTGCATATATTTTTGGGGGGAATTATCTTATATTGCAAATGACACTATTAACAATTAGATAAAATATCAACGTGACATAAAAATGCATTTGCTTAAGCAACCATGCAATTTAATTTTGCTTCTAATTTGAGTTCCTTAATCGTCATGTTTTACGGGATTTGTTTCCGAGTGCTCCTCGAGAAAGTTTACTATGCTAAAAAAAAAGCTATACATTTAGAGCTGGTTATGTGATGTAAACGTCAACATATACATTAGTTAACCTACCACTACATCTCACTAAATGCACAATATACTAATCAGACCAGCTCTGAGTCTGTGATTTGAAACCGATGTCTCCTAAAGAATTTAAGGTGTGTTTATGTAATTATATCACTGTATCCACCATATTATTTGGCATCAAAGCAAGGCAAGGCAAATATGCATCTATTACTGCATGCATTCTAATGATGAACACCAAGTGACCAAAATAACAGATACACACACTCCCTGCTCTCCTGAAGTTATTTCCACTCCGCATTCCATGGAAACTCCCTTTATACAAACAAACAGATACAAAATACTTGACATGTTTCCGTTCTCATGGAACTGTATTATATTATGTCTGCACATATTAATATAGTATTTTTACAGATTTGTTTCCCTTTCAGAGATAATCAATTCAATATTATTGAACAGCACTTTTTTTTTTTTTAAATGATTAGTAAATTATTTAAAAATTCCAATAGGTTTTCTTATATTTATAGAATCTTCACATTTAAATTGAAACATTCTATAGACTTTGTCATATCTTAATATTTTACAGGTTGGAAGTTGAGAGATAACAAAATCAGAAGAATGCAATGTGTTTCCAGATGCATTAGTATCTAGGCACTTCATTGACAGCACACATTATGGGGAAGGCAGTCAGCAGGCTCTATCGACTCTAATGACTTCTCCATGCACAACGAAGGCTTGCTCATTACACTAATGTGCTTTATGGTGCACAAACGGCATGATATTATGACAACACCAGTGGCCCTATATTTTATTGGTAAGCACAAATGAAACAGAGGCTCCCACAGCTAAAATCAATTTACATTTAATTAAATGGCCTGTCTTTTGCTTCATAATGAAAAGTGGCACTGTAGTTTTCAAATAAATGCAGCAACAACAACACTGTTTTGGTACAAATGGGAACAAATTATAACAGGAACAAATTGATGGTTTGGCATCATTGTGCTTCATTTGAGTCTTACTCATGGGCCTGTGGGCGCAGACTGTATGAGACAAAAAAAATGGTGGATTTCTCAATATTTCAGTGCTGTACTTTAAGCTATCAGGCAGGTACAGAGGAATCTGACCTGTGGCGCAACATAATAACTCACACAGCGGGCTGGAGTTTCACGGAGACAGAACATATGTGATGTCTCCAGATGCCAGCATTTATTAGATACCTTGTTGCAAGATCCCTAGATTCCATTGACCATGAATGGAAGCCAAAATCTAAGTACATTTTCACAAGTTATAGTGAAAAATTTAGAACCAAATGAAACTACGTGTAGGAAAAAAAAACGCATGCTGGTGGTGGCCTTGAAACAAATATTGTGTCTTGAAACTGGATGGATATTTGAATGCTACCGATTCCGATCTGAATTCTGATCTGATTTTCGACTCGTGATGCAGTCTGAATAAATCACACCATGTTCGCCCATTGGCCAGAGAAGAACTGAGCCTGGTTTCTCCCAAGATTTTTTCTCCATTCTGTCACCTGATGGAGTAGGTTCCTTGTCACTGTCACCTCCGGCTTGCTTATTTGGGGACACTTAATAATAATAATAATAATTCATTACATTTACATAGCGCTTTTTCTCGGCACTCAAAGCGCTTTACATGGAAGGGGGGAATCTCCTCAACCACCACCAATGTGCAGCATCCACCTGGTTGATGCGACGGCAGCCATATTGCGCCAGAACGCCCACCACCAGCTTATTGGTGGAGAGGAGACAGAGTGATTAAGCCAATCAGTATAAATATGGGGATGATTAGGAGGCCATGATGGACAGAGGCCACTGGGCAAATTTGGCCAGGATGCCGGGGTTACATCCCTACTCTTTCGAAAGACATGGGATCTTTTGTGATCACAGAGAGTCAGGACCTCGGTTTAGCGTCTCATCTAAAGGATGGTGCTCTTTGACAGTATAGTGTCCCCGTCACTTAACTGGGGCGTTAGGACCCACACAGACCACAGGGTGAGCGCCCCCTGCTGGCCTCACAAACACCTCTTCCAGCAGCAACCTGGTTTTCCCAGGAGGTCTCCCATTCAGGTACTGACCAGGCTCAGCCCGGCTTAGCTTCAGTGGGCAACCAGTCTTGGGCTACAGGGTGATATGGCTGCTGGTGGTGGCCATATATATTTTGGCCTAATATTCAACAATATTATTGATCTGACTGTACTGACGCTGTTGTATTATAAACTGAACTGAGCTGGACAATGACATCATTTTTTGCAGAAGTGCTTTATAGATGACATCAACTAATTTAATAATTGGTGATCTTCACAGCGGAACTGAATTAACACTGAATATATGCATACTTCCCTACATACGTGGTAGGCGAAAAACAGTATGTGAAAAGAGTAGTATGTCCGAATTCATAGTATTTTTAAAACAGGGTAACACTTTATTTTAATGTCCTTGTTACACGTTACATGTATTTACTATAGTAATAACTATAAATTAGGCATAATTACATGCAACTATAACCAAACCCTAATCCTATAGTAAGTACATGTTAAGTATCACTTAAATATATAATTACACTGTAACAGGGACACATTCAAATAAAGTGTAACCGCTTACTATCCCATGATGGAAAAGAGTTGGGAATGGCAGTGAAGCTACACAATTGTTTCTATAGGTCACGTGACAATGTCAACATGATGAATGTAGTACGTCCAGGTTTTAATGGTCACAA